AATTTTCAACCTATAGTGCTCATATTTTTAGGACACGTTGAGCGATCAAGTATTTATTCATGATATGAAAATCAGCTCAAACAAATATATCAGATACAATTAATCAAAAAAACCACACGTTCCACTTATTTTGACCAGGGGGATATATTTATCTATTTTTATAATATGATTTGTTATAATTTTATCTTATACGAATCTATTAATTTATTTCTAAATTGATTATACCTTTATTTTATACAAATCTACCAATTTATTCATTCAGTCTCAAATCACAACCAGATGCGAGAAAATACTATATGATAACATTCTAGAACTTCTTATTATTATTTTTCCTTTTCTATTCTTACTAATTTCAATTTTACTTCTCCTTTCTTTTAGTTTCCTCTTTTTGCTTACAATTGTAAATGCAGAGCTCTGATGAGTGTTTTAATATTTCAATAAAAAACACGAAACGTGTCGGTGAAATTAACTCTGCATTATTTCATCATTTTTTTAATTTAAGCTGATTTATTTAGTAAAACTCTATTGTTTGATTTGATCGATCTACGTACACTCAGAAACTTTGCTTTTATTTTCCATTTTTCATGAAATTTCAGTTGATTTTCTGTTTTGTCGGAGAATCAATTTTTTTTAATATCGAAATGAATTTCTATGTTTGTGAAAAATCGAGCATTTTCGAAATATTGAGTATAAAAGCAAAGAGTTATATCAGTTTGAAAATGCTTGATCATTTTAGAAATTGAATTTTCAGGAAGGACATAGAATTCCAACTAAATTTACAGTGCAAACATGCGACGAATTTCTTTGTGACAAAGAAAACATCAATGTATCGGCTTACCATCGCTTCAGAATATATCTTCTGTTCTCTTATTTTGCTTCTTTCATAAGCACACGCGGTCTTTTAGCTCCTGGATTAAGCAAAACTCCTGAAAATGTCTGCCTTAGCAATTTTTAACCCTTGTTTCAAAAAAGTGTAGCACTGCCTTTGAAAGGCATCGCCTATGCAAAAAATAGTTTTAGAAATTCTTCTAAACTTTTTAGAAAAGTCTATACAACATTTCTCGTTGAAATTGATCGTTTCTTTATTTGATAGTCTTATCTTTGGGTAATGCGCGCAACGCGACTGAAACAGCCAGCCTGATTTCTCGTATTTTCTTAAAAACAAACTTGATCTTCTCGCTGAAATGTTTTATGAAACACCACCACGTCGCTTTATCAGCGCATCACACAACGATAATCAACGAGAAATATATACACACACAAACAACTCAACGATAAATTTCTTGCACTCACAACTCCAATTTCATGAGAGAAACAGGAGAGAACAAATCACGTTCATTAGGTGCTGATTTACTTGACCTCAGATTGATGGATCGCAGAATATTTTCACAATAACTACTAGAAAATAGAATAGCTGGAACCGAATGTTCTTCTCTCTGTTTGTTTAATTCGACTGCATGCGCTGTGGGTGTGATTTCTTCTTCTGCGATCCTCCACACTCATACCCTCTCTACTCAGTAATGTAGCACTCCAAGTTTTATTGAAATTTAAAATTTAGAAGCTTAGCCATATGGTCGTGATAGCTAGGGAGCTCGAATTTAGAATTTAGAGCGTTGTGTTTTCTTTCACAAAAGGGTAAGAGAATGCAGTAAATTCGCGTTACTTGTTTTTAGGAGGATTATGAAAGAAATTTTATTTAGTTGAATCAATTTCTTCAGATTTGGGCCATGGTAAATCAATAATAATGATAGTATTCATTGGATTATAACCATCGAGATAGGGATAGGCATTATACCATAGATACTCCTGTTCGTGTTTCTAATAATGATTTGTCTTCTTCTTCTTAATTCTTCTCTTCTGCAGATTCTTGTAGATGTATATCAGGAATATATATGTCGAAATTGAGTATTTTACCGGACATCGTGTAATTCGAACATAGTGTCTCAAAAAATCTATCAAAGGTGGTGTTCGATTAGTCATTCGAGCTTCTTGAATATGACTTTGATCTGAATTACCACTTAGTGTTATTGTTTGTGATTGACTGTCATTGGATATTGGAGGTGACTACAAAAGAAAAAGAACACAATCAAGTAATTTTATAGATATAATTTCAATTTGCTGGAATAGCTCGTTCGAAATCTTGATTATCGTTTTCCTATTTTGAATTAAAATGATCTAAGATGAACAACACATATGGTTAGTTAAAAAAGAGAAATAAACTATTCGATATTACCAGTGTGCTCTTCTAGATAAAATTCTTGTAGATACTGAGACATGTTCTGTGAAGAAGGTTTTAATTTTTGCAAATGATATTTATGTATATCGAAAAGAAAGAGGCAGCCTATCGTAATAAAAGCAACTGATAAGTATAATTTTAGCACTTATCGAAACGCGTCTTGCTAGCTATTAATTAATTGATTTTATATAATTTTCAAATCATCAACTTACAAACTCACTCGCATCCTCATCCTCACCCTCAACACAACTTAGCTAGTGCTACCACTAATCAAGCGAATACTAGTCACTCGACCTAATATGTGATATATTTCTACATTATTCTTTGGTTCATCTTTTAGTATGCCGAATTTGAAGTAGTGTATGCTTTGTAGTCAGTTCCAACTCTGTCAGTATATTGGATAACACATAATAGTGATCGTTTTTGTAGATTGTGATGGCGGAAGTGCTAGAGGAAACCACCATTCTTCACGTGTTTCACAAGTTTCAAAGATAGGCGCCAACTTGTTGGATGGAAGAGAAAGAAAACCAATGTATCCCGTATCTATCACGCAATGGCAACCGTGAGAAGAAGCAACGTGAGAATTGATCCTATTTCTGATCGTTATTCTACTCTATATACATCAGTACATTTTTCAGATCGTGTTTCAGAAAATGTCCGCTAAATTTATTGATCAAGATGGTACTGCCGACAATTTGTTTCCACCTCTCAAGTGCTGGAAACGGAATCTGGCAAACAAGAAATTCATTCGAATGCATACTACACAAAAGATGAGTATGAAAGATGGCTTCGCTACAGAGAGGTATATTTCTCGTTTTAAATAGAAACATTTGATAGTTTTTCAAAGAATATTATATTACTATGTTATTCAATTTATTACGTTAGTCCTATGATAGTACATCGAAAGAAGGAAATATTATTCTAAAGTACACAGTTCTACTCACATATTAATGTTGACCTCAAATGAATTTGTTAGAAGAGTTTTCAGCAATATTAAAGATTTTACAACTAAAACTTCATGAGACACATTTTACAGGTGAAACTCATAATCTAGTCAAAAGTCTCTATCCAACTATTTAATAAGAATTCAATGAGATGAAGGTTTTGCTCACTTTGTACGTCTGGGTTCTCGTCGAAGTAATTTTAATAATCTGACATGTAATAACAATGACCAATAAGTAGCGTGGAGGTACGTCTTTTTTCTAAAAATGTTTGTTCTTGGACCTTAGATTTGAAAAAGAAAAGTCGAGGAGACAAGCATTTTTCATTATTACAGTAGTGATGTTGTAGTCGAAATGCGTTTGAGTATACATTGTCCGAATAAACATGAAACTGTATCTTTTTGTATTTAGCTAATGAAACGAGATATAATTACATTTTATGACGATGATACCAGAATGAACTTGTGGATTAAAACAATGGATGATTTTGATTGGTGTATTGCTATTGAAGAAATGAATAAGAGAGAACAACCATAAAAATAATTTCTATTAATCTGGGATGAAAGTAGTGGTAATATTCAAGAAGTCGTCAATCCTCGTTTCATTGAGCTGGTAAAATCTATTGAAACTCATCCAAAATTATTGACGTTTCACTCTGGTGTGAAGTCTATTGCATGCGATAATAAAGTTGGCATCTTATTGGAAGCACTCAAAGACAACCGCTTCATACAATATTTATGAATAGGTTTTCATGAATATGATTTAGTAACAGTACGTGCAGTCGCACAAGTGTTGATTAATAATAAAACATTGTTATCTTTTGATATTGTGGCTGTCTGTTATGGTCCACCTGAAGAAAGGTTAGTCAATTTGTTGATACATGAAAGTACATATCTACAAAATGAGTTCTGTATCATTACATATATTAGACCCCCTGAGTCGGAGCCCATGAATTTGAAATGCGGTATTGAATTGGTATGCGCTCTGAAAACAACTACTCTTCAACGCCTCCGTATTCATAGAATTGATAATAAAGTACTGGAAGTTGTTTTACAATCTTTGCCGAATACTTTGGTATATTTTGATTTGTCAGACAACAATATCAACGAAAGCAGTATTTTCATCATACGTTCGTATCTGGAACCAAATGGTGAAACTCTCAAAGCATTAATTCTTGATAATCATCTTGACAGTAAATATTTACAATCACAAGAATCGTCATTGTTATCGAGAGTTAAAATCATGTTAAACTGTAGTTGGGCAACAAAATTGTTTCGTGACCCAAACTCTCTCGCTGTATAGGAATCCGGCGGAGTGGAGATTGACTGGCCCTTGTTGATTACAGAATTAATCAAAAATGATACCACCTTTCGTTATTTCACTTGGTCTTTTGAAGAAGACGTTAATTACCATTATTCGCATTATCTTATAACTTTGTTGAGCAAACAGTGTCAATTAGAATCGTTGACAATTCGATGTTCTTTCGGTGATGCGCAAATCAAAACGAAGATATTTCAATTGTTGAAAGAAAATCGTTCCATCAAAACACTTTCTATCAGTTCAAAAGGCTCAAAAGCATTGGTTTTCAACTACTGCTCAATTCGTTACCCAAAACGTTGTCAAAATTAGAACTAGAATATAATATAAACACTGCCAAAATTCTTCCATTTCTACTCGCTTTTATGAAAACTCATCCTACCTTTAAAATTTCTGTGCTAGAAAATGACATAAGCAGTCATAGTTCAATGGAAGTGAATGTGCCTGTTTTAATGGAGAAAATTTTCGAAGCTGATAATGAGAATCATTGTATGTGTTATTTGAACATGAATAAGTCACCCATAGATAATGTATCAAATGCAGAAAGTGGTGATCTCTATTTAACTAGCTTACGTAATGATCATATACTTGAATTGTTTCATGAATTGAAGAAATTCCCTGATAGAAATTGGTCAATCAGATTGACACTCGGCACTCGAATCACATCTATCCGCTATCGTCGTTTACGTGATCTTTTATCTTCTACAGTTAATGTTGTTGAATTCGAAATTACAGCAAATAATATGAATGAGGAAGCACAAGTAAACTTGTTTACTGGTCTTTTCAACAACAAGATACTTCAAAGATGTGGTCTATGGAATAGCAAACTTAATCATGAAGCCATGGATTGGATTGGACGTTTCATACAGAACAATACGATACTGACAAAACTCCGTTTGGACTATTGGGAAATAGGTGATAGTGGTGCTGTCTTTTTGACCAAATACTTGCCCGAAAGCAGTTTACAAGAATTAGGCTTGGGCAATAATTCACTTGGAGATCGAAATTGTACAAGTCTTCTTTTTTCAATTTCTTCGACATTAACAAACTTGTCAATGGTTAACAATAACATAACAATATCAAGCTTACAAGCAATTCTCACTTTTTTTGCAACCAATCGAACATTGAAAAGACTCGAAATTTCTGAGAATCCAATTTTTGGAGAAGACCATCCGGATACATGTAATAATAGTGTTTGGCAACAAATAGTTGAAGCTTCCAAAAAAAAAATAATACTTGTGAAATCGTTTAAAATTGTCTACCAAGCAACAGACTTTCATTCAATTATCTATCATATTCTATTAATCAACCTGTATCTTACTAACTGCTTGAAGATGCTCATTCACATTCAGTATCCCAATTTTTCTTTATTCTACTCTGAAATATTTACACAACAGGATATAATGTAAATTAGAAAAAATATGTACAATCTCAGTAACCTTGACACAACGTGAGAATAGGAGGAGGAACGAACAGTGCTATTATCGCCATGCTTTTTGAAAGAAATACAATGATTAGATGTTGAAAAGAAAATCGTCTTATAGAAATAGAAAATAACGCGCGAGAGACTGTTGTTATACGTTGAGAATTGTGGATATGTTCAAGATGATTAGTTAGTTAGAATAGTGTGTTAAATGTGTAGATGCCCATGAGGATAGAGTGTGGGTGTAAGTGCGTGTTGGCATCAGCGTGACTCCATATGGGTACTGAGAATGCAAAGAGACAAACTTGTATTCGCACTCTGTTCATATTCAAAGACGAATCCATCATCTACGATTCGATATGTTGTTCGGTAGTTAACAATTCTTAGTAAAGTTTATAGAATAAAAATCACAAAGGTTGATTGACGAGAACTGCAGATATTGAAATTATTTTACTTCAACTAAAAATGATACAGAAAACTTGCGTATATAGTGGTGTGCGTGTGACTTGGATATATATATGGACATGCACGTTGTGTGTTCTTTGAAGCCGATTCCCACATCCACACGCACACCTCAACCAAATAAATTTTTTCTTTATGTGAGTCTAATTAAATTCATCATTAATATATTAAGACACAATGGCAATCTACGACGTATAGTTTTGAATAAATGAAATGTAGTCTTACAAAATGATTTCATTTGATCGTACAAGAATTTGTTGACTTGGCCACATAAAATCATACGAGACCTTATAATAAAACTGATTCACCTGAGTCAGTCTAAGAAGTGTTTTGCTAAGATACTCATTCATTATGATGTTGTCTATAATTTTTTTTTATACTCCATTGATCAAACAAAGAGAAACAAGTAAATAAATTATTATCTATGATTAACATGGGTATGTAAATCATAGTCATGTAAAGCATCAAATGAAGCAAATTTGTCGATTGAACATTTTTGATCCTTTGAAGACTGGGTTTTATTTACACAAATAAGTGTTCTGTCCCAACGAACTCCGTCGATTCTTTTTCGGATTCGATAGCGTGAAGATTCGAAAGTTTAGGGCGTAATCGATTCCAGTTTCCAACGCACTTATGATTAACTCTTTTATAGCGAACCCAATGGTGTCCCATCGATAGGAGTTTATGATACTACATCATCAAGCTTTATCTCTTTGTGATTATTAAATAATATTTGTAATACTTATGACGAAGCAAATACGTTTTTCAATAAGATGAATGATACATGTTTCATTTGATAGAACCAAATAAAATTCAAATTTAGATTTGTGGTAAGGTAATACAAATATTTTTTATCTGTTTTTTGATTCAATTTTAATGTTATCATGAAATATTTTAATTTTTATCCAGATTTATTAGTGAATTATTCAATACAATTAATAAATGGAAATAAAGTGCTTTTAAACTATTTATTTTCAGATAATTGAATTTGAGAGAGAAAGAGAAGGTAGCACAATGTGTGTTGTCCGGATGTAAATCTAGCATAATATAATTTTAGGATTGTTCGATCTAAAAATTAATGAATTTAAATATGTACTTTTTCAATAGGTTGAAAAGTGGCAAAAGAAGAATGATTTCTTTTGTTTGTCATTTATATATTTTTGGTTGTTTTGCAATTCGTTAAATCTTTAAATAGCATATTCATCTGACCTAATTTCAGATAATAAGTTGTTGAAAATTTAGCTTCTAGCATCCTTTTTCTCTCGATTAAGAAAAGATTTTATTCAAATAAATTCAAAAAAAGTCAGATATATGCAAGACTTTGTTCATCAAAGTTTCCAATCATAGAGCGAGCATGGAGCTATTACAATGCATTTCCCATTGACACACTTGGAACTGGCACAAAGTGGATATTTCCATGGAGGACATTTGGCTTCACAGTAATTAGGATGAAAGCATGGAGCACATTCCTTACAAGACTCATCTACTTTCTGTGAGCAAGCTGAAATTATGTGACACCGTCCATTGATGCATACTGATTGAGTACAGAACGGTCCATAGCCAATTTGACAATCAGCGCATACTAACGGATGTATACATTGACTGGCATTTGTACATTGACAAATTGAGCACGATGCAATAGGCTGGCACATCCCATTGACACAATTGGCTGATGCACAGAAAGGTCCACAACCGAGAGGACATGAGAAACGACATAGATTTGATGAAACACATCCACCAGGCAAACACGATGTTAAAGATTGATTGGTGCTTACAGGTGCACACTCAATGACGAGTGCAGCACAAAAGATAATTAAAACGCTTTTTAAGAGCATAAATATAACTGAGTACACTTTCTATATACTATAGAATGATAAAGAAATGATTGCGATATTTATATTAATTAGTTAATAATAGATAGAGTTACACCCATTGATATGTCACGCTTCGTTTTCATTTCCTGTGATGTCATGCATCACAAAGTAGGTGTATGTTTATCATGAAGGATGAATTGTGACTCACTGAGAGAAATACTACGCATCCTTTCTGTATCTCAAACGATACAAAATTTTCATTTATGAGGACATCTTTTGCTATTTATTCTACTCTTGAAGAGAATGATGTCCAAAAAGCAGAAGTATAGCTTCAGTTTTTGTGAAGAATCTCAATGTTTTGTAAATACTGGTTAGAATGCTACAGTAATGGAATTCATCTCAATGCTCAACATTAAAATTATACCAATTAAAGAATAAAAATTTATATAGAGGTACGAAATAATGATACATTCCATGACAATAAATATTAAATACGAGTATGACTATAAATCTGTAGCAAACAGTTCCAGATGTTTAGAACGAATCATTCTGAGAGCAAACTGTAATTGCTTGAGATATTTACCATAAACTATATCATTTTTAGTTGCTTTGGATCTTCTATCTGCAGTATTCAATCACAGTCCCTTAATTTAATCAGCTACGCATTGATTTCTATAGATGTTCATCCTTAATACTCCGCTATCACCGTCAGCAGCAATATGTTAGACTAAATTACATGCACATATGAATGACTTCTTCATAAATTATGAAGAAGTACTCTTCTCTTTCCTCTATTACATGGTTTTTTTTTATCAAGTAATAATAATGGCATCCTATCGGCCGTTCCTACAAAGAACCAAACGCAACAGTTTCTTTCGGATTCAAAATCAATTTTGAAATAAAATTAATAGTATGGGTATGGGTGTCGATGCACTTGTCTGAAGCAGACTCATACCCACACCAACACGTACTCCTTCAGCTTCATTTTTTTTTAAATTGAAACTGAATGAGTCATCAAATACTAAAAGGTTAGTCCTAATATCCCTTGAACATCACCTATATTAAAAAAAAAAGATTTTAAATGCAACAAATACAAGACATTTACTTTTCATTGTGTTGAAATATACAGCTAATGCTGCGGGTAGATTGATCAATCATCAACAGTTCTTTATTTTGTTTTATATTATAATAATTATGACAAAAATAAATCGAAATGTTTTCTTCACAAAACAACGAACATAGAGAACCAAGTCGTGATCTTTTGAACGATTGTCAAATCAGATTTATTAACTGTGGTGACATCAATGTCTGACAAAAAAATGAATATAGTATCAAGTACTGCTCATGTCTATAAATAAACTACAATTTGGTTTCTTTTTTATAGTTTTAAAAACTCAAAACCACCTTCATTTGTTAATTGAAATGTTACATTTAATCGCAAGAAAAAAAGTAAATCGCGATAAAATCTGATTTTATCGACGATTTCTTGAATTTTCCCGCTTAATCACGATATTACTCCGCTTTTTTGATAAATCGATAAAATCCCCACGATTTTGCCGACATGAGACAGTACTTCGACATTCTGATGACGCTTACATTTTGTATCAAGCAAGAAAAAATATAACTCCATCGGATTCATATTATATATCATTGATTTCATTGATAAAAATAAAATTCATCTACTCTTATAACACATTAAAAATTAAATCAGCAGCTGACATTTTCGACATTCAAGGAAGAAATTTTAGATGCAAGAATATATTGAAAGTTGTGGCTGTGCCTGATTCTACGACTATCATTCAATCATCCCAAATTTCACAAAACTTGCTTTTCGACCAATATCCGATGATGATCCAACAGCATCAAAAGTTTTCGTCTTTTGCCCATCTCCCAATTTGAGAATGTTCTTGAACTCATTTTATGATAAAAAATAAACGTTTATAACTAGATACTAATGCCATCATATAATTTTTAGAAGCTCAACATAGTTTCTGAATTAGCTTAGAACTTAAAACAATAGAGAATACTCATAAAAATGGTCGACATAATTTTTTCTGGATCAAAATGCATTTTAATGAATATTCTTTCATTTTTCACTTGATAGGGCCTCCTACTTCAGATATAGATTCTCCTGCATTGCTCAATCATCAAAAGATACAATATCCCACAGATAATTATAGAAAATTTACAAATAGTGATGTTGACTGAATATAACCAACAGACTTGTCAAATCATGTATTCATTCGAAAAAAATAATCGAAGTAAATAAAAAATACATCAGATTCATAATGCATAATAATGTCACACCATTCTCAGAATAAAATAAAATACATAAAGTATGACATCAATAATTACACGAAATACATTTTCTTTATTTACGAATAGCTTAAGTGGTTTTCAATTTAGTGATGAACCCAAGAAAAAACATGATATCAGTCCATTGTTACTATCTATAGATTTATTTAAATTTTTATAACCATAATTGCTTTAATGTATATCCGTTATATATATGAAACAAACAAACGAAGAATCATTGTTTTAAAAGAAATATATTTGTCTCAATACTTTCAATATAAATATGGACTATTTCCTTGATTCTTAGTAAAATTTAAGCTGCGTTGTTCACATGCACTTTGTTTGTACAATCCTCATGTTTAGACTCAACTGTAACGCAATGTTGAGCTCTTATTTCAACGTCTGGATGTATCTC